ATGCCCTTATTCTTCTAACTCTTGCTTATTTTTTCTCTTTCAGGCTTCAGACAATCATCATCCTAAATGGCAAGCAGGGGACGTTTCGGATGATGAATATTCAGTATCATCAGGTGTGGTTGATTCTCATTATCTGAATGGTGTCAGAAAGTTCAACAATCCACATTTTGATGAAAGAGACAGTGAGAGCAGTCCTGAGGAAACTGCAGGTGGAACTGCAGAAAATACTGATGACTACTGCAAAGAAGTTCGCTGTATTGAGATGGAAGAGCCAAGCTGGGACAAGAACTCTGGATCCCCTGCCTTATCTACTATTGGCAATGAAGGAACATCTGCTTTGGCATCTGGGGATACAAGGGTAACAGGTCAAGAATTGATATCTACCCCAGTGAATGCAGATAGAGAAGGGATTCAGATGCAAAATGGTTTTGCATATGGCACATTGGGGCAGAGACTACATGATGTACAAATGACCATTGATTCTCTTGGTAGTCCTTACCCTGAAGAATCATTTCCGCATGATATTTCAGCAAATATGTCAAGTTCTAGAAGCCTAAAGTTAACTAGGAGCTGGAGTTGTAGAGCAAATCTCATGACTGGCTCATCTTCTCCGGATAAATCGGAGAGAACCCCACCTAATGGGTTTGAGGAAAGCTTTCAAGGGAGACCAGAAAGTTTTGGGAGGAAGGTTCCTCTATTACATTATGATTCCAACAGAAGGTTGTCAAGAAATGATTCTCAATCTTCCCTTGGGAGTGCTGTGGATGAGCTAGGAGCACAGACCACCGATGAAGATATTACTAGTGTCCATACTTTTGTCGCAGGACTAAAGAAAATGGCCAAAAAGCTTGAGTATGACAAACAACTTGCCAATGATCAGGTGAGAGTGTACCTGACTTCCAAACTTTTCCAAAAAGCAAACAAAAAGAATGCCATTTTATGTCTATCTTGCTTTCTGCGGAGTTCATCTCTTATTTGAGCGATGGCTATCTTTTTTGAATGTGCTTGTTATAGTAATTAGAATGATTTTCTGAGAATGTGAAACATTATCCATCACTCTGACTCTTAATATTCACACTTTTATAGTTTTCAAGTTAATAAAGTTGGGAAGAATTTGTGACTGTTTTGCATTGCAACATTTGCATTTCCATGTTGGGGAGAATTTTGCAACTTTTAGAAACTTTATACATTTCAACTGGTTCATGTGGCTTGTGTGTGGATATGGAATTATGCAAATTCATAATCTTCTTAAGTTGCGCATTCTCACAACTTATTTACCAATATTCTTAGCTAGTAAATTGCTTATATGAACTTTAAGGCATTTGGGTGAGTCAGCTTCTCACCCTTTTTTTGCTTCATTTAACATGGATCGGTATGTGCATGCTAGGACCAAGAGACTGGGGTTGCAGCTGAAAACTTTGAGAAGAATGTGAAAGATGTAGGAATAGATCCAATGCTAGAAGTATCCGAAACACTTGATTGGCCTCTGAAATTTGAGAGACAGCAGAGGGCCATACTTGAACTTTGGGAAACTTGCTACATATCAGTGGTCCACAGAACCTACTTTTTCTTGCTCTTCAAAGGTGATCCAACGGATTCCATTTACATGGAGGTAGAGCTTAGGAGACTCTCTTTCCTCAAAGAGACTTTTTCCCGTGGAGATCATGCTGTGGAAGATGGTCAGGCGCTCACACTGGCTTCAAGGTTCTCTCTCTCTCCCTCCCCTGGTTTCCTCTCTTCCTGTAGCTACCCATTTAAATAAAGACTGTTCAATAGTTGTCATTTTCACTAAAATTTGCTTCGCAGGCTAGTAACATGGTATTTTAACAGAGATTGGCCTATATTCTGAATTTCAGAGTGCTTTTAGGTGCTAAATTTAATCAAGGAAAATGTATTATGGTTATAACTTGAAACAAGTTTCTTTTTGTTAGATGAATCAAGTTTTGTTTCTTGTCTCTTATTTTTTGTTTTCTTTATCTAACACAATGTTTCTTTTATTGTTAAAAACCTGTTTACAACCCTTTAGACCAATGTTGGAGTCCATGAAAATTTGAACTTCAGTTTTGTTTCAATGCAACATATATTTCATGCACAAATTAATAAATATCTGTTCATGAATTATTGCTGTAACTCTATGTTATTTAACTGCATTGTCCTATCCGTGCATGTTTATTTGGACACAGCATAAAAGCTATTGGTCGTGAGAGACAGATGCTAAGCAAGCTGATGCAGAAAAGGTTTTCAGAAGAAGAGAGAATGAGACTCTTCCAGAAGTGGGGCATTGCACTGAATTCCAAGCGCAGGAGGTTGCAGCTGGCCAACCGCTTGTGGAGTAACACAAATGATATGAACCACGTAACGGATAGCGCTGCCATTGTTGCGAAGCTCGTGATGTTCGTAGAACAGGGGCATGCCCTCAAGGGAATGTTTGGGCTGAGTTTCACACCCCCGAAAGCAAGGCGTAGATCCTTTGGATGGAAAAATAGCATGGCATCTCTTATATAAACATGTTGCTCATACGTATACTACTTTGTAGAGCCCACATAGCATCATCAAAACTTGAAACAGTTTGCTTATAATTATGATAGGATTGTGTAAATCTTAGTTGGCAATCGGCATGCTCTGGTTAGAAAGCTATGTTGCATCCTTAATGAAATGTTAGTTTTGAATCTTATGTGTTGTCATTATTGTTTGCATCAAATGTGCAGACAAATACTATTGTTTATGCATGATGCAACAAAGACGACATGAGAATGCATAGGGTTCATCATATGGCCCGCGGCCCATGGGCCAAATTGGGTCGGCCTGATTTTTTGATGGGAAGGGTATAGTCAATGAATTTAAAATTTAGACACGGTGCATGGGTTGCCCATTTGAGTTCAGTATAATCCAACTCAGCCCAACCCGACTAGGTCCGCCCATAATATAAATACGATTCAATTAATTTTTAAATATTTATGTCATAGTTAATGGGTGAGATTCAATTTCTCCAAGTTTCAGGGAAGTTTTTATTTGAACCCAATTATTTTAGGGACATTTTAGAAAAAGCAAAAGGAGAGAGAAAAATTTTAAAAGAAGCAAAAATGGACAAAAATGCCCTTATTTATTTTTAGATTTCCTAAGGAATCCAATACATTTGCATGTCTTTGATTTGAAAGTTGAGCGGTTTTTTTGTCTTTTTTGAAAAAGTTTTGGCTTTTTCCAAAAGTGAAATTTTTTTTATGTCTAAAACCTAAAAAACCTATTATTTTAAGTAAAACTCAACCAATGTTTCTTTTATCCAAAAAAAAATACCGATTTTTCTTTGATAAAATTACAAGTTTGTTCATTATAAAATTTTGTTTTAAAATTTTCAGGTTCACATTCTGTCTCCCTCTTGCCCCTGGACATCACCATTCCTGAGCAGTGAGTGAGAGAGAGAGAGTATGAAGAGAAAAAATACTAGATTGATGAAAGAATATTTGTACAGAAAGAGCTTAGAAGGCAGAGAACGCCTTCTCTACGAGAACAAGCGCAAGATTAGAGAAGCTCTGCAAGGTTATCCTTTTTATCTTTGATTTTGTTTTAGGGTTAGTTGATATTATTCTTAACTTAACCATTTATTTAGCAGTTGTGAGGTTTTGTATTTTATACAAAAGACTTCGATTTTATTAGGAGGAAACCATTTATTAAATACAAATTTATAAATAAACCCAATCCTAGACATGTATTTATAAAAAAACCCAAGCACTATTTAAACATAGAAACACACCCAAAATCAACCCCAAAGTCAACTTTTTGGGTGTGTTTATAAATGGGTTTTGAGTGTGTGTAATGATGGGTTTTGGGTGTGTTTATAAAGTGTTTTTGGTGTTGGGTTTTTTTATAATTTCAACCTCCATTTTGGGTGTTTTAGTGAAACTCCCTTTATTAAATGAGACTTTCTATTTTGTTAAATTTACGATGTTGGACTCATGTATTATTCAACAACTCTTGTAACACCATTAGCAATATTGATATTATCTACAACTTAACCACTTGTTAAACTGTGTATTTTATACAAAAGACACTATTTATTATATGAGACTTTCTATTTTGTTAAGTTTCTGATGTCGACTCGTGTATTCTTCAACAAATTTGGGACACCTTTTGTTTTCTTGCAGAGGGAAAACCGATTCCCACTGAGCTTCGGAATGAAGAGGCTGAGCTTTGTCGAGAAATCGATCTCGAAGATGAGAACACTGCTGGTATATGAGTATACAGAAATTCTTCTTTCTCTTCTTTGGTTGTTTAGACCGCCAATGTATATTTCTTGATGGTTCTGTTGGTTTTTAAAGAAGGTAAAAGGAAAGTGTGAGTAGAATGAATGGTTGAAGTTTATTTGATTTTCACATTATAGATATGTGTCTTTTCGAAAACATTCGGGAAACATTTGCATGTAGTTATGATGAGCCTGTACAAGTGCACTTCGAAATTGGCTGTGTACATGATATCATGGGCGATTCTAATTCTTTATTCCTTTTTTCTTGACACCCGCAAATCCCCATGTTGCAGGCCCAGACACGAAACTCGAAACTGGGGTCCTGCTACTGAACCCTATGAAGATACAGGAAAATTCTATACAATCTTTAGGAGGCAGGAAACACTAGAATAAACCTAGAATATGAGGGGAACTTTTCCATAGCTCTGTCATTTCAACTTTTTCATTGACTCTCAAATTCTATGTTTTTGAGTCCTCAAGCAAAGCATCTATACCACTATTCCAAATAGTCGTATGGCTGGAATGGAGGAGGTGAATCATTCCCGGAGGTACATGAGTTTATCTTTAAAATTCAAAGGAGATGGCGACGCCACCTGAGGCATCGTCATAATTTTTTAATCAAATCATTAATACTAAACATAACATCAATCCAAAATCCATGATTCAAAGGTAACCTTCATTAACGAAACTTCAAATATCCATTGCAAAGTCCCCATTTTTCTCTTGTCATATTTTTTGGGTAATATAACTAAGTCCCAGCTTAACTAAGTCATACAATTAACTGGACATGTAGGTGAAGTTCAAACTACAGTCTATGCAAAACAAAAACAATTTCAAACTTGCAGTTTACAAATTCCAAAAAGGATGCAGTGGCTTCAGGCCTCCAACTTCACCTTCACGAAACATAAGATTAAGAAAATTAGTAAAGCATAAATCCAAAGAAAATTTCATTACCTTCCACAAGAAAAGTCATAATCAACAACTAATCAATGGGAAGGTAACAACTACCTGCTTCATACACTCTTCTAGCTTGCTATTCTTCATTACCTTCCACTTCTTTCATTGCCCTTCTCTTCTTCATTACTGTCGTCTGGTGCATTTACCCTGTAGATACAAAGTCAAACAATGAGATAAAATTACGTCAACATAAGATTCTACAAATATAATACGTCTTTCAAGTCACTCTTCTTCATTACCCTCTTCTGCTTTTACTATCACTCTCTTCTTCATTACCGCCATCTGGTGCAGTGACCCTGTTAATAGATACACAGTCAAACAATGAGATAAAATTAGCATCAACATAAGATTCTACAGATAAACTAATATATATGACTGACTTTCAAGTTACTTTTCTTCATTACCCTTCTCTTCTTTTATCACCCTTCTCTTCTTCATTGCCCTCATCTGGTGCAACTACCCTGTCAATGAGTATATCCAAATAATGAGAGTCACATAGCATTAAGTGTCATGCAATTTAGAACCTATACTATCCAAACTTATAAAAGCTCGGAAGCTTACGACATTGGTTGAATGACTCATTATTCAAAGTTTTGATGCTCAGTTCAGCAATAGGAGCCAACATTTAACAAAGAATTTTGTTTCCTGTCATCCAAATAACGGAAACCACAGCTAGCTGCCACGCACCAAACAGCCCCGAAGACCTTTAGTCTTCTTTCATCCTCCAAAACGGCTTAATATTTTCACAACGCAAAGAAAAACTGGTCCTTGGAATTACCCAACTCACATTAGCCAGTCTGAACAACTTGAGGCACAAACTTAAAAGTGCTATTTGGGCAGACAAAGCAAAAAAGAAAAGTTATGCATTTAGTTTGAAACTTCTTATCTCTAAAGAGAAAGTTGTGCTTGTTCAGCTTTTGTTTAAGTTTTAAATTTAGCCATAGACAAACTAACCACACTTAGTCTACTGTCAGTCGTCTCAAGCAGAGTATACGTGTCGATGTGATTGAAAAGAGATAATTAATAGCATGCTGACTTCTCCATATATATATATACTGGGTTGTGATCGGAAAGATGGCACGACACAACAAAAAACACATGCAGCTAGATTGATAAACATAACAACTAATTAGCATATGCATATTAAGGGACGTTACTTACAATCCTGCTGTGCAATTCATCACCATGTAAGTGGTTTTATCTAGATTGCATATTCCACTTGAAAGCAATTCAGCCTTTAATATATCACCACCATTAGGGGTAAGTATCTTGAACTTGCACCAATGAATTTGACAAGACTTTACATCGTTGTCGTAGATGATCATGCGATCCCATACCAAACCCAACTTGTGGTGGCCATTCTCGACTCCAACTTTAACCAACGACAGTGGAACCCACCATGGCTTGAACAGGTCTACAGGCTCATCCGTAGGGAAGAGTACATCTCCACTGTCATATGGACCCTCACTGGGAAGGACTGTCTCAAGGCCAAGGTCATGGTCAAAATTTTCAAGGCCTACCTCATTTTTCAGGCCCTCAAGTGGGCTGGACAACCATGTACGAGCACGAATATCAAACGCATATACCCCTGGTCGAGCATTAAAACCAGGGGATTCTCTATCCGATGATGGGTTTTGCGTTCCAAGGGAGAACAAAAGCGAGTCGTCAAAAAGTATCACCCCAGGGGACCATACACCCCAAAATCTGTCGCAAATGACTTCCCAGCGGTTGGATCTCAAATCTATGGAGTACATGGTGTTATAATATAACATGGGGTTATAAACCAAAATATTACTCATAGTAACACCAAGCATATGTACTTCTCCTGTCAGGCCTTCCTTTTTCGGCAACTTGGTGGAGTCGCCACTAGGATGATTCACACGGTAGAGGTTATCTCCCGAAGTAAAGATCCAGCCATCCTCTCGAGCAATAGCCCCGCCTTGTCTGTCGCTATTAACTCCTCCCCCAATATGCCAGATCGGCGTCGGAGTAGCATCCAAGTCAATGTACCTCAACCCGACCCTACCGATTTTATTTGTGTCCCCAATGATACTGCCAATGAGGTACAAGCGGCGGTTCACGGCAACAAGTCTGCTGAAGTCAATCCAGTCCAACCCTTCGCCCCCAAAACTAGGCAGATTGAGTTGTCGGACTCTGTCTCTTTCGCTCGCACGCAGCACTACAATGTTCCTCCCTTCGTTGTTGTTATCATTTTCTGCCGTCGCTGCCGTGGATTTCCTTTCAATAACGTACCAAAAAATCGTTTCATCTGCCCTAACCATCAGGTATATTGGGCTTTCAGTTTCGGTTGGCATCACCATTGTTCTCGCTAAAAAAACTACCAAGAAACATCAACCAAGAAAAAGAAATTAGTCTTCTTGAATTACAAGAACATAACAGAGAAATGCAGGAAATTCATTTGCTTGCTTGCTTCATGTTTTGCTCAACCCACGGCCATTTTTATGCCATTTTCACAAAAACAAAATAAAAAAGCCATTAACATGCAGAACAAGCAAGGCAATAGAAAATAGATAAATATGGCAACCACCAAAATGGGCTTGCATAATCTCCTCTGTCCAACATAAAGGAAAAGCAAAACCAAACAGAGCAAGAAAAAGAATTAACAAAATAAATGCAATCTCTCAAAGAAAAGATTGCAAAAGAAAAGGGTACCTCAGAATTCCTTCTCCAAAAGTTAAAGAAAAACTCAGATCCTGAAGACCAAGAAAATACATAAGCGACCAAGAAAATGCATAATCAAAGAAAAAAACGGCAATAATCTTGAACATAGTGACTAAAATAACAAAAGGTTCCAACTTTTCAAAGGATTAGCAAGATTTACAAGTTTCTTACCAAAAACATAGTGAAACAATGAACTGAACAAGCCAAAAGGTAGAAATGCAGTGGTCTTCCAAAACCCAGAAGACCAAAAACAAAATTTCGGGGGTGAGGTATCACAGGTAAGGAAGGTTACCTTATGGTGACAGAAGAAGACTCTCTTCAACGAGCAGGAAGAGATTTCCAGCCCAAGACGGAGGAGACGAGGAGACGAGCGCTGGCGTGGTTTTTTCGTCAAGTCTCTCTGTTTTCTTGGTTGTGAATTCTCAGCTCACGTTTGGCAAAAAGAATAAAAGTTCTCAGCTCACGTATGATTGTGTCAAACGCTGGTCGTAAATGGGTCAAATTTTGTTTTATATTCTCCAAGTTAATTTTGGTACCTCTCCGTACGGTACCTTGTCCTAACATGCTTAATTAAACAATTAATTAAGGGTTTAGGGTTTAATTAAACAATTAAACAATTGTTTTTCGGTCAACATTAAACAATTGCTTAATAATTGGTTTTCCTTTTTATTTTTTTGGCTTATCCTCAAATAAAATGGCATCACATACATATGGCTCTTCACGTTATTAGGGGAAGGTTTTGTCCATATATGTCGTGCTAATATTGGGATGACTCATTGACCATTTTTCCCTTTATATTCTTTTTTCTGTTTAATCTAATAAACTTGTATTGGTTTTTTATTTTTTATTTTTATCAAAAGAAGATTATGTTGATAGTTTGTGAGTCTCTAGCCCCTCTCTCTCTCTCTCTCCCTCTCTCTCTGTGAGTCTCAGAGGAAAACTCCATAGAAGGAGGGAGGAAGAAGCGTCACTACCTCTTCTCTCCCTCCTCTCTTCTTGTGTTTTCTTTTTAGGTTAGTGAAAAGTCCACTCGGGAGTTTTGATTAAGAAGCCTCTTATGGGGAAAAAAAATCCTCTTGCTGCTCTTTATTAATTTGTATATTTAAGATTAGTTTAATAGTCTTTCTCTTCACGTTATTAGGGGAAGGTCCATATTATATGTCGTACTGTTGTTATAACTCCTTTACCAATTTTTCCTTTATATTCTTTTTTCTGTTTAATCTAATAAACTTGTATCGGTTTTTTATTTTTTATTTTTATCAAAAGAAGATTACATTGATAGTCTATGAATCTTTTGCCGCGCTCTCTCTCTCTTTCTGAGTCTGAAAGAAAAACTCAATAGAAAGAGGGAGGAAGAAGCGTTACTAGCCCTTCTCCCCCTCCTCTCTTCTTGTTTTTTCCTTTTGGATTAGTGAATAAGTCAACTCGGGCGTTTTGATTAAGAAGCCTCTTGTGGTGATTTCTTTTGAGCCCTACTTAGATTGAAGTTCCCCATCACTCCTTTTAGGCTATGTTCTCAATCAAATCATTCTTTCAAAACCCACACTCTAACAATGCTCATGTTCTCTAAATTTGTTTCTACATCGTCTTTGACGAAATCACCCAATTGTTCTTTCACAGGGTTGTTTATTTCGTTAATTTGTTCACTCTAATGCACAGGTAGATCATTGGAAATTATATTTTCCCCATATCTATTATGGATGCAATGGTGGGTGTGGTCACGACGACGCTTCATCATGTGGTGGTGGTAGAGTTCATTTAGGCTCATGGATTGCTTTAGGGTCATGTTGGGTTTGTGGGCTTTTTTTGGGCTTATGGTTAATTGTGGTGATGTGGGCTAGTAATTTTAGTGAGACTTGTCCAATATAGTTTTGTTTTTAACATGTTAGTTCGTTGCCCTCTTGGGATTTGTACTTTAGATGTCATGTTGATGTTTGTACTGTTGAAATCAATCTCGAAGATGAGAACACTGCTGATACATGAGTATATAGAAATTCTTTTTTCTCTTCTTTGGTTGTTTAGACCGCCAATGTTTTTTTCTTGATGGTTCTGCTGGTTCTTAAAGAAGGAAAAAGGAAAACTGTGAGAAGAATGAATGGTTAAAGTTTATTTGATTTTCACATTATAGGTATAGGGAAGTTGAAATTAAGAAATGAGGCTTAACAGGCTAGGTCTTGTAGAAGACATTCAGTTAAAATTTGCATGTAGTGATGATGAGCCTGTACAAGTGCACTTAGAAATTGGCTCTGTGTACATGATGTCTATAATTTAAAACAAATACTCGAAAAACTCTTGATACCCAACTGTCCTGTAATTTGTAGTTTTACATTTTATCATGTGGTCAATTCTTCCCTGTTTTCATTTCCGAATCCTAGTCCCAAGGACACATATCGACGATGAGTATGCTAAAGCAGCAGAAAGAGATCCCAAGATTTTGATAACTACTTCCCGGAATCCAAGTGCCCCGCTAGTACAATTTGCAAAGGTTGGCCTAGCCTCTTTCATTTTCTCTTGTTCATCTAGTTGCACTTTTGGTGTTCAATTTGTTGGTTCGTATTATTTGCTGCAAATTTGGTTTTGATTAGTGATATTGTGGTTCACGTAACACTTGTTGTAGGAACTGAAACTTGTTTTTCCTAATGCACAACAAATGAACCGTGGTGGCTAGGTTGGTGAACTTTTTTGCCCAAACTTGTTCGGCTTATTTTTCTCTTCTTCCCTATTTGTTTTTACATAAATCATCGGTTTCTTGATGTGCATTTTCCAAGTTTTGCTTTTGTTTCTTTTTCATGTATATCAGATATATGCCCAGTGTGTGATAACAAAATTTTATACTTGGAAAAATCGTACACCTCATGGGGTTTAGTCTGAAAATTAGGACTTGGGTACGTTGGACGTTTTGGTGCTAGGAGTGTTTGTGAGATTGGGCGGATGTTCGGCTCCCCAACCCTGATCTGTTGAATCTTTTATATGAATTCAACAGTGAATTATTTCACAGTTCTATTTTTTATATGGACATTTAGTCTTTTGAAAATAATTTGTTCACCATTTTAAATATGTTGTAGGGAACTGACTAGCTCTTAGTCTACTGGTGTTTCTCTTCCTAATGTTGGAAGAGATCCCAAGTTTGCATGCCCCCTCCCTGATTTATAAAAAAAGAAGTTAATTTTCGAGACAACACGACACCGGTAATAGAAATTAAGCATACTAGGAAGTTAATCAATTAGGATGAATTATTATTTGCTTAACATGAACTCATAACCTGCTAACAAAAAAATCCATGTAGCTTAGGATTTTTTTTTAATTTTATTGATTTTTAGCACCAAGAAAAAATCGATTTTTAGGAAGAGTCTATTGGTTATATGCTCAGTACCGAAATAAGATAATCAAAAAGTTGTGAAAAAATCAACCTAATCGTTGCACTAGTAGTAAAGTTGATGCAGGGCAGCGGCTATAAGCGGCCGTCCAGCGACCCAAACGTACCCGAAATACAGAGAATAGAAGGATAAAGCTGTAGAATTGAAGCTGGAATGAAGATAATTGAGTTGTAGGGCTAAATTCCCAAAGAAAACTCTTCAGACTAAAGTCTGAAATTGTATTGATGAAAAATTGAAACAAAAGTC